ATGCTGCTTGGCCTGCTGTGTTCATCCAGCTGTACACCTTGTTATCTCAGATTCTCCAGCATCTGCAGTTCCTACTATCTCTGAAAGTTCAAATGAAGTTTTGTTTTATTCATTCCTAGGATGTGGGTGTGATTGGCTGGGCCAGCACTTATCGCAAATTGCTAGAACGTTGCAGACAGTGATCTCAGGGTTCCATTTCCATCCCATCCATTATTCACTTTTACTACTTTAACTGAGTCTACTAAATTAAAATTTGTGATGCCTTTGCAACAGAAGAAGATGTTAGTTTAGAACGTGTTGCGTTAATCAAGTCATCCTAAGCATTTATTGAAACAGAATGCATGTCAAACCCTATCCAAGTGTTTATTCATTACCATAAAGTGAAAATCAAGGCATGTTAGCATAATATTTTTCAGTGTATGGTTTGCAATACATTATCTCACCAGTGGACAACTAGCTGCTTACAGAGATTCACTGGAAAATATTAAGTGTCCAACTTTTACTGTATTACCTGATTGAATCAGTACAGTGGTGCACTATAATGTGTAAATTCTCTTTTTTATTTACATGGTTATTTAACTGTAGCTTTTAAACAAAAAAGGCATGGTATCTTTTCCTCTTCAAATGTTTCTCATTCTTCTGTTATAGAAAGTTACTCATCCATAAGTCATGAGGTAAATATCTTCTCAATTTGTAGTTGTAAACTAACAGCGTCTTGGATCACAGAGTGTATCCAAGCAGTCCTCTTCAGATTCAGTTAAACGTAGTGAAGAGAAGCCTAAACAACAGCAATTTGCTTAAATATGAATGTTTATTAAGTAATAAAGAAAAACGAAATAGAAAGGAGCATTTATTAAGTAAATAAAAAGAATGAAAAAAAGAGGAAAAATACAATAAGCCTCATGCCCTTCTGGCTGTTGATGATGGATCTGGAGGCTGAGCTTGTTCCTGGCACTGTTTACGATCCTAATCAGAGGCCAAGTCCCACGATTTGGAACAAAACTCTCTCTCTCTTATACTGTGTAACAAACAGCAAGGCACAGAAAAAAAACAAGTACAGAAAGACAGAACTTCTGGCCAGTACAGAAAACACAGCTACAGAAAAACAAGCTACAGGTGTCATTTTCAGCCCGTAAAGGAATGTTCACAGGACTCATTCATGGCCATACAGCTTGTCAAGTATCATCATTTACTTTCCCAGTCTATTCCTATCTTATACAGTCTATTTTCTCATGCAGCTGTCAAATATTATCATTAACATTTAGCCCTTCGGCCCATCCTATACTGAGATATTACTTTAAGTGCAATTGGCCATTGCTACTATTATATACGAATAGGTCATTTAATGCTGCAGGGTAGTCCTTCTATTTTATTAGATCGATGCTGATATGTACCTCAAATCTATTTAGCTGTCTTTGATGCACGTGCCGTAATAACCTTGCCTAACTGAAACCTCTCTCTTGAAATTTTTGATTGTTCCAGTACTTCCAGTTTTATAGAGGAGAATATTCCAGATTTCTACTATGTGCAATGAAAGTGTATTTGACGGCCTCACTCCTGAATAAACAGCTATAATTTCTAGATTGTAACCTCTTACTGTTACAGCCTGTTATAAATTCCTGTTATTTGGAGTTGGCGATTTCTGCACGGCTTTATTATTCATATTGGCCAGGTGTAGTAATGAACACAACACGTAAGATAATAAAATACATTCAGTCCTGCTGATTAGGTAATGCTGTTTTTATAGAATTGCTCAGTAGTGATTTTGCTTAAACGAGCCCTTTCAAAAACATCAAACATTGTAAGTCACAGTCCCTGCTAATTCCTTAAAATTGTCCTGAACACTGGTAATGCAAAGTAAAATGTTTCAATATTGTTTTATTGTGTGCATATATATTTATTTCCCTTGGGACAAATGCAAAACATCAATAGATTGACCCATTAAGAACTAATGCCAATTTACAGTATTAACAATAATGCAATGCTGTTTGCAAGGATAGAGCTGAGCTGAGCAAAGTAGTCACAACCTGGAAAGATTATGAAATCATCACAACAGATATGTTATTTAAATACTTGATTACGTTGGTTTAAAACAAAACACCAAGGAGAATATCTCAAGAGTCAAGTTTTAAAATACAATCTGAAAACAGGTGGATTGTAAAGGAGTAAATATAACTGCATTTATAGTATTCTGATAAGCTAACACATATTGGGAGAATATCTTCTGATGTATGTAATGTTAAATGTGTAATGTCTGAAGGATGTTATCTAATCCATACCTTAATAGTTTCCAAATCTAAAGCTGTGTTTACAAACTAGTGATACAATATCTTTATACTTTAGCTTGACATCAGTTACCTGCGCTATAGTGGCCTAGTTCTGTTTTCACCATAAGAAGAAATGTGCAATTTTCTGGCCTCCAGTGTTTAAAGTGTATTTCAATACGAGAGAAGACACAATGCCATCTGGAAATGCAAAACAATTAAAATGCTTATGTTGTTTTTATTTCCAGGTCTGCATATTGTCATTTTGTACGTCCTGTAACATTGTGGGAGCCATTGCCTGGGCGGGTTATCTCACCAGAAAATAGATTGTTGCTGCCTAGTCCTTAGTGAAAAGTTTCAGGCTGTCATTTATGATGGAAGGTAAAATTCTGTTTCTGCCTCCTGGGCGCATGTGCAGTAAGATTGAACACCTTCAATGCATGATTTCCTATCCGTTAAAGCTAGTTTGACAGGAGTGCAGAAGTAGCAATTTTGTTGCTTTTTCTATTTTCCATGACCCCCATGCCTGTTGGTTTCATTTATAACCAATTAACGTCCTTCAGAATAAATGCAGACCAATTGTGAAACAGTTATCGATATGTTTTTCCGGTCCTGGAAAATTACCAATTGGCATGGAGTCAGGAGACACGGCAGCAACCTTTTTTTCCTTCAGCGAGTACAATTCTTACTGGAAGTTTCTTGATACCTGCAGGCGTTGGTCTAAAATAACAAGCAACTTCACAATTCTAATGCAGTACAACAGTCGCATCTTTTACAAAACCGTTTTTTTCGTTTGTGTTGTACCTGCAGAATGAACACGTGATTATTTCTCATTCTTTCCTGCATTTATATTAACCATTATCTTTG